TTGGTGGTTCAAACCTCTATACAGGTTTGCTATAAATCAGAACCAACTGGACGGTACTCAACAATAATAATTATTATTATGAAATTAACAAGTTCTACGCAAAATTAAGGAACTCTGGTAGCACAGTGGGTTACGAGCTGGGTTGCTAACCACGAGGTCGGCATTTTGAATCTACCAGTCACTCCCCAGGAGAAAGATGAGGCTTTCTGCTTCTGTAGAGATTTACAGCCTCGGAAACTTTTGCTGCTATTAATTGCGATCGAGTCAGTTCCGACTCACAGCTATCCTATACAGGGTTTCTAAGAACAGCTAGTGGGTTTGAACCACCAACCTTGTGACTCACAGTCCAGTGCTGATCCTACAGTGCCACACCTACACAGGATACTTATATATCAAACACAACTCCATGGCACACATAACCACCATCAAAGGATATAATCTGTGTCACAGAACTGTCCATGTAGAAACTGTTGAAATGGCTTCAACACCAACAAAACTAAATTATTTTTAAAAAACAGGAATTGATTTAGAAATTAGAAATATCTGAGAGGATGCTATGCTAATTATAATTAGTCATTTACACCACTGGGGATTAAAAACAAACATGAGACTTAGGAATCTGAAAAACATTTTGACAGGGATGATAAAATACAGAACAAACCACCACACCTCCTTTGATTCCTGGACAATTAAACACCCAGATAATCAAACCCAGAGAGATTTGGATAACGTTACAGGCCAAACATATACAAAAATGTAAAAGAATGCATAGAAATAAAGCATTATTAAAATGAATGAAATGCTATCCATGTGATGCCAAGGAAAGTATTCGTTCTAGGCTGTTCTTAGCGAATTACTATTAAACTTCAGTTTTTCCTGAGCATATGATCTTGTCCTCTCACGTATACACACAAAACTCAGTCTTTCTGTGGAGTCCTGGTGTGGCGTTGTAGGGTAAGCACTGGACTGCTAACTGCAAAGTCAACAGTTCCAAACCACCAGCCACTCCCTGGAAACCCTACACAAAGTTGCTATGGGTTAAAACTGACTGGACAGCACTTACAACAACAAAATCAAGCTCAATACAGGAACTCTAATGGCACAAGGGTTAAGCAGTCAGATAAATATCACTTTGCTTCAGAAACCAAGACGCCTTGAATATAACAGCAGAACACAGAATCATGAGAAAATCTACTGATGCCCTCCACTCACTACATGTGAAGTAGCATGAGTCCATGGCCAACTGTCCCAAGCATTCTGTGAGGTCATAACTGGCCTCCATGCATAAACCTCACCTGCTGTATGAGTTAAGGTGGCATACCTCAAGGGTGAGGAGGAGATGACATGATGTTTCATCAGGGAAGACAGATGCTCTAATGACCTGCAAACAGCTGATAATGGTGACTTCTGTGGTATAACAGTCTGAGAAAGTTTAAGTCCCAGTGCCATTGTTGTTTCTTATGAGCACAATGGTGTCTAACTAACACACAGCACAGTTTGTGAAATGACCAAGCGCACTGACCTGCATATAATACACACACATGGGATTAAAGGATTATTAGGGTACCGGATGTCCAAAATACTGCCAAAATGTGAGCCCACAGAAATAATAATAAAGGTGCAAGCAACAGCAGTATTACAAGTTGAAAGAATTACAGTGCACAGTATCACATGCCAATAACCAGGCTACAAAAGACTGGCAATCTTAGGCAGCCTATACTGCAGGTCCCACTGCTTTTTGCTTACTGAGTACATGCTAAAGAACCATAGCCATCCCACCTTCTCCAAGCACAAAGACATCAAAAGGTCAAATGTTCAAGGCTAAGGAAAGGTCAAAGTCATAAATCAATAAACCTTTTTAAATTGAAAATATAAATAATTATGCTTATATAGATGTTATTGTTAAGTATCATGAAGCTGGTTCTGACTCATAGTGACCCTGCACAGGGTTTCCGAGGCTGCAAATCTTTACAGGAGCAGAAAGCCTCATCGTTCTCCCGCGGAACAGCTGGAAGTTTCGAACTGCCGACCTTGAGGTTAGCAGCCCGATTCATAACCACTACACTACATAAATAGTATACTCTATTAGCACTACATAGACATTAAAAGAGGGGTCAGGGAGAAACAATGAGAGAAATCAATTAAATGCTAATAGGCAAACTCACAAATCCTAAAATCTAAGATTAATGGAGCTAGGCACAAAGCGAGAAAAGCACCAGTCCTTAAATAGTTGGGTTCTGCCTGTTGCTCCAAATGACAATGTTAGGGGTTCTGCTCCTAGGGAGACAGAGAAGAGGGTTGTAATGCCTGTCTCCCTGCTGGCCTCCATACCAGACTTCACTCAGCTACCATCACTGGTAGCCAATTGCTGATGAAAGCCCAGCAAAGGGGAAATGTGGATGCCTGGGCAACTGTGTTCAGAGTAGAGACAAGAGACCACAGCATCAGCCAAAGATGGGTCCAGGAAGATGGTTTAAAACTGTTAACACAAGGCTACCCAAGACTTAGACATAATTATATATACATTGTCTCTACTACAATATCAGCAGCTCAAATCACCAGTTGCTCTTTGGAAACTCTATACGGGGTTGCTATGAGTTGGAACCAACTCAATGGCACTCAACAACAGTTGCAAAAAGATGACTATGAGACTAAGAGAACATCGCCATCAAACATCAGTATCATGGATAACTTCTTGAGTGATACTGCCAAACAATGCGTAAGGTGATACTCTAAATTTTTTAAACACAAAAAATTAACATACACTTAAGCCCTGGTGGTGCAAATAGTTAAGTGCTCAGCTGCTAACTAAAAGGTTGGTGGTTCCACCCACCACCCACCCCCCAGCCAGCAGCTCTTGTAGGAGAAAGACCTGGTGATCTGCTCCCATATAGATTAGAGCCTAGAAATCCTTATGGGACAGTGCCATTCTGTTATATGATACGGTTAGGAGTTGAAATTGACTCAGTGGTACCTGACAACAACAAAGGGCTTCTACAGAGCTTCCAAACTCAACTCTTACGTCAAATACCAAAGAGCTATCAGGAAATATGCCTAACGTCAAAAAGCAAGTCAATGGCACAAACAGGACGCAACTCTCCCCACAGTTTGTTCTGTGCTTTTGCCACTCAGACAAAATGACCTTGAGAAGCAAGATGTTACTAGTTGCTGAGAGAATGAGCCTCAGACAGATTGCATTGAGTAATCATTTCAGTAAGACCAAAGCACAGTTGAAATTTTAGGGATGGTAAAAGCCTTAAATGTATGCAAATTTTTAATGCAAACATTATATTGTGGAAGCCCTAGCTTTAGTCTGCATATTTCTAGGCAATCCTTGCTTCTATCCCAATGAGATCTATGCATTGTGTAAACTAATTTAAAATGTAAGGCCAAATAGATCTGGAAAAGTACAGCTTTATCCTCATACTTAATTTATACTATAGTGTACTGTAATTAAGCCTGAAATAAAAGCTATATTCTGAGTAGAGACAAAAAGCTCTTGTTAATGACATTCCATTCCCAATGTAGAATATAACAAAAAGCTTCTTCATTTGGAGCCAACTGTCATTATACTTTGTAGCTTGCATGGAGCTATTAGACTAATATTTGCACTGGGATTACTGTTGGATAGCCAATCAGTTAACTCTTCTAATGCAGTTTTCTATTACCCTCATGTAAATGGCAAAACGAAAAAAAAAGGAAATTGGCAGCGAGAACAACAACTATATTTATGAGATTAAACTCTCAAACCCTTTACAGATTGTGGGTAACTAATAACCATTTGCAAATGTTCATTTAATGAGTCAGTTAAGCCAAAATCAAATGTGTTCCTTCAAGCAAACCAAGATTACAATACTCATATCCAAACTAACAAGCCCCAATTATGTGATTGTTGTTGTTATTGTTGTTATGTGCCATTAAGTAGGTCCCAACTCATAGCAAATCTAGGACAACAGAACTAAACACTGCCCGGTCCTGAGCCATCTTCACAATTGTTGTTTGAGTCCACTCTTACAGTCCACCCCACTGAGGGCCTTCCTCTTTTCAACTGACCCTCTAACCACACCAAATACGATGTCCTTCTCCAGGGACTGGTCTCTCCTGACAACAAAGCCAAAGTATGTGAGATGAAGTCTCACCATGCTCTCTTTAAGAAGCATTCTAGTTGTACTTCTTCCAAGACAGATTTGCTCATCCTTTTGGCAGTCTGTGGTATATTCAGTATGCTTTGCTAACACCGTAATTCAAATGCATTGATTCTTCTGGGGTGGGCCTTCCTTATTTGTTGCCCAGCTTTCACATGCACATGAGGTGACTGAAAATACCATGGCTCAGTCTGGTTCATTTAGTCCTCAAGGTAACAAGACTCCTATAGCCACATCCATACTGACAAGCCCCAGTTCTCTCATACGTACATAATGCATATACTCATTTAGAATGAGACCCTCAAGATGCCATGGAAGAAAAACAAACTTACCTCTTTTTTTTTAAGTCAGATGCAAGCTATCTTGCATCACTGTGACTAATTGAAATTTTCCATGTTTCTTTTTTTTTAATTTATGACAACCAAAATGGCCAAGAAATATCTTGCATAGCAATGCCTATGCTTGCCATGATTCTAAACAGAGGTTTCAGATGATTGTCATCTAACTCTGTGGTCAGTAAACACAGGCTCTTGGGTCATCTAAACGAAGCCTTTCCCTCATTTTATAAAATAGAGCACCACTCCTGAGACTGTCTCTTCCTGGAGATTATGAGGATTCAGCCAAATACTTCTTATCAAAGCAAGCAATGAATATATTGTACATTTTGCATATTTACAGTATTATCAACCAAGGGAGGGGAAGGCAGTATGGGCTGTTTTCCAAGAAAGTGTGAGTCAGAAGGAGTTGATATCAAGTTGTCTTTGTTTCCTTAGCTCCTGTTTCTGCCCCCCACCCCTCCCCACCTCCACATACCCTTAAGAAAGCAGCCAGCAGGTAGTCCTTCATTTTACTTACTAATAGTTCATCCATACTGGTCTGGCATTTTTCCAAGTTGATCCGCTTGATTGCTACACGTTCTTGCCTAGGTTTGCAAAGAGCCGCCTGAACCACAGCAGTTGCTCCACTGCCTGAAAAGAAATAAAAACAATATCCATTATCAAATAGGACACTGTCTGGTTACTACTGGTGACCCTTTTCATATATAAGTATCTCTTTGTGTTTAAATTCTTTAAGGTATTAAACTGTTAGTACATGATTATCTTTTTAAGAAGCGTCTTGTATCCATAAATGATTATCTGTGGAGAAGGGAAAACTACATTTTTCTAGAGGATACAATGACAGAATTTGCCCTCATGAGGGTTACAATCAAGAGAGGTTGTTGTTGTTAAGTGTCTTTGAGTCTGTTCTGACTCACAGTGACCCTGTACAGGGTTTCAGACGAACGGCTGGTGAGTTTGAACCACCAACCTTGTGGTTCAAACCAACCTTGAGACTCATGTCAAAAGAGCTCATTCAATACAGTGAGTTTACCCTCACCCAGAACAAAGCCTAAGAAAGTGGTGGGTCTTCAGACACAGGAACGAGGTGCATGGGCACAGAAATACAACCCTATATGGAAGGTCCTGATACTTTCTAAATCCAGTGCCTTTAAAATGGTTGTTCAGCTCTTTCTCTACTTCAGCACAAATGAGCCACGTCCCTCCTGTACTACTTTAGGGTTACCACACGACACTGTGACAGCTTATTTGTTCTAAGCACTCGTCAAGTTTGTCTTCATAACGTGCTCGACAGTTAGAAAAAGAGCAGGAGTCAACCCTAATATTCTCATGTTGAAATCACGACTTTGAAGGATGCCAAGCAAAATGATGCAAATGTGCAATGACGAAAGCTCTCTGGGCATTCGTACAAATCTCCTATTTCTAAGATTTCATGATCGTTAGCTAATGCACTCAAAATCCTAGGAGACACAGTGCTGCCATGACCCATATTTTACAAGAGCAAAATGTAGATATGTAATGATTTGTGGCAGAGCACAAAGAACTCCTAACCAGATTTATAGTCCCATAGGGGTGAAAAGACCTCCTGGTTAAGGCATCTCTCTTCTGCAAATACCAAAAATGCCGTTCTAGTCACATCAATCTTCTGCCACTGCAAGACAGCCAATGAAAGAAGCAGCCAGCTCTAAGGATTATGCAAAAGGGGGCCAGAGATGACCATCTGACTTTTGCCTAAAGCTTCTCTTTGAGTGATTGTTTCCCAGATGAGTCATCCAATACCACCAAAAAGTGGCGATGGGAAGTGTCAATTTTTAGGCAGTGAGGTAACAGTGGAACAGTGGCAGCAGCAATGGGCTCAAGCGTAGCATAGACTGTGAGGCTGGAGCAGGACCAGCCAGTGTTCCATTCGGTTGTGCATAAGGTCGCTATGAGTCCCTACAGACTGTTGTGTCATTGTGGGTTAATGCACTAGACTACAAAGTCGGTTTGAATTGCAAGGTCAGTGCAGTGCTTCAAACTCATCAGCTACTCCTTGGAAACCCTATACAGGGTCGCTATGGGTCAGAACCAACTCAACAGAACTTAACAACAAAAACAAAAGGGAGATCAGCAATAATTTTCCTCATATATGTGACAAAAATGCAAGACACTTACACTAAAAGCAAGGTTTTCCCACTCCATGAAGTCCCCAAGTATTGACTTGAGGTCTGGGGCTCTGCCTTTTCTACCTTGTGGTCTCATCATCTCTTACCCCCAACCTGGTGACCCTGAAAGATCCTTTATGTTCCAACACCCATCTCCAACTTCAAGAACTCCCACTCCAGGCAAGGCCAACCTGCATTCTTTGGGGAAGACCACCCACACTTACTGTCACCTCACTACCATGGGAGAGGCATTCTACTCAGATAACTCTGTACAT